ACTGCTCTGCTTCTAATCTAGCCACCCCTCCAACATATTTAAAATAAAAAAAAATTTATTGATTTGATAAAATTATATAGAGGGAAAGAGCCACAGAGAGAGAGAAAGAGAGAGAGAGAGATCTTCCATCCACTGGTTCACTTACCAAATGACTAAAATGGCCAGAACTGTGCCAAGTCTCTCATGTAGGTGCAGGTGCCCAAAATCTTGCTTTCCCAGGCAATTAGCAGGCAACCGTGACTAGATCTGGCACCCATATGGGATACCAGCACTACAAATACAGGCCTTACTGGCTATGCCACAGTGTCAGCAACCTAATCCAACTCCCTTTTAATGTTCTTGGGAAAGTAGACCATAGTCCAAGTATTTTGGCCCCTGTCACTCGCACATGGGAGACCAAACAGAGTTCTGGCTTGCTGGCTTTGACCTAACTGGTCCTGGCCACTGAGGACCTGGAAAAACTTTAAAATGGTCCTCTACTCAGGATTTTGGGTGGGCTCTTTCTCCTATCTGCACGAATGCTCTGGGAATGATTTTTGAACAAAAAGTACATTAAATTTGCATGCTGTTTCTTGCTATTGGGATCATTACCAGTTGTTGTAGTTGTAATTCTTGAGTTTTGAAATTCTTGTACGAGTTCTTTTAAAAGTACTAGAAAATCAGCAATTCATAAGCAAGGTGAAAAGCCAGACATAGGACAAAGAAATGGAGACATGAGAAGAACAAAAATGGCACAGAATGTACAGTAATTTAAACATTTTTAAGCAAAGATTTTGGTGTTTCTTTTTAGATAAAAGGAATAATATTTATCAAAGTAAAAAACAATTACCAAATGATTTGTCCTTTTCTTTCACTATTTTCAGAAGCAAATGTCCTTTGAATGTTTGATCACGAGTGTTTATTTATTAAAGTAAGGGTTGGGGGAGAGAGGTTTTGCTGCCACAATGGCTAGACTGCCTGGTTCATCCTTTGCCTTCAAGTGCCAACATCCCATATGGGTGCCAGTGGCTCAGTCACTTCCTATCCAGTTTCCTGCCTGTGGTCTGGGAAAACAGTGGAGAATCACCCAAAACCTTGGGACCCTGCACCAGCTATTACAAGATTGCTAACAAGTATGCTGCTAGCATTTCTTTAAAATCTTTATACAAAACAGTGGATTTTGCATGGCAGATTTTCACAACTGGAATTGGAAAATGAGGACAAAATAGGCAGTGGCACGGACAGAAGTCCATTGTGGATACCTAGTCATGAAATGGGAACCTCTGGACCCAGTGCAATGGCTCAGTGGCTAAATTCTTACTTTGCATGTGCTAGGATCTCATGTGGCTGCTCGTTCATGTCCTGGTTGCTCTACTTCCCATCCAGCTCCCTGCTTACGGCCTGGAAAAGCAGTGGAGGATGGCCCAAAGCCTCTGGACCCTGCGCCTGCATGGGAGACCTAGGAAAGGCTTTTGGCTTTGGATGGGTTTGGCTTCAGCTGTTGCAGCCACATCAGGAGTGAATCAGCGGATGGAAAATCTTTTTCTTTGTTCATCTCCCTCTGGCTGTAAATCTGGCTTTCCAATGAAAATAAGTTAGATTTAAACAAAATAGAAAAAGAAATGGGAGCATCTGTGGTATGAGTGGTATGAGTTTACAAAAGACAAGTCCATAGAGCTTTCACAGGTCATCCCCAGGCAGCGAGGCTAGGATTTGATAGCTGGTGCTGAGAGAAAACTGTTGATTGCATCTTCGCTCTGGAATGTACTAGACGTAGTTAACACTCAACGGTACAAAGACTGTTGTATGTCTTATTAAAAAACAATTTTTTTGCCCTGTTGTTTCAACATAAGACTTCTTATTCATAATTTACTGTACAGAAAATTTAAAAACAAAGAAGGAATGAAAGGAAAGGAAAGGAAAGGAAAGGGAAGGGAAAGGAAGGGAAGGTAAGGAAAGGGAAGGGAAGGAAAAGAAAGGAAAGGAAAGGGAAGGGAAAGGAAGGGAAGGTAAGGTAAGGAAAGGGAAGGGAAGGAAAAGAAAGGAAAGGAAAGGAAAGGAAAGGAAAGGAAAGGAAAGGAAAGGAAAGGAAAGGGGAAGAAAAACTACAAAACTGCAGCACAGAAAGTGTCAAAATGAGAATTTTTGTTGGCATCACACCCAGAGTCTCCCAGGGTTGTTTCAAGTGTCGTCAGAGACTGGGATGCCTGTATCTCCTAAGTTGGGAAAGTGGCTGTTATGAACTTCACTTCAGACTACCAACATGAGAGCTTCCAGGGCAGTCCCATCTACTGAGAAGCATGACTAGTTTCATATAGAACGTAGGAAATGAGTAGCAAATAAACATCTGAAATACCTTCAAGTTTGGCCTCTAAGGAGCTGAGTGATCTTGATTGTAGCACCTGCAGGGAGGGACACTGCTTAACTAGTTGTTGGAGGCAACCTGTTGCCTTCTTTTCTAAAATTTATTTATGGTAGCAATAAACAAAACCCTAATTGAACAGTCTAATTTTTCAAAAGCATTCAGTTAGTGGAAAATCAAATCATGACAGGTAGTCCTGAAGCAGATTAGTAACATAGTATCGCGCTTTGATCCAAGCTTCTGCATCATAAACCATGTTTTACTTTGCCAAACCTTCTCAGTTTCATCAGCATTCCTTACAAGCAGCATGTTTACACTGTCTCCTTTCCTATCACTTCATATCTGTCTAGTCTATGAATACTCCAAGAATGGGAGAAACAACACTCCAAGAATAAGAGACACAGTGCATTCTAAATATTAAGGATGGGGAGATTAAGCCTAAGAAAAGGATTTTAAAAAAACATTTATTATTTATTTGAAGGAGAGAGGTTTTTTTGTTTTGTTTTTAGCTACTGGTTCATTTTTCTGGTATACACAATAGCTAGGCTCACACCAGACCAAAGCAGGGAGCTGGGAATTCCAGATGAGGCTCCCACATGCATGGCAGGGGCCCAAGCTGTTCGAAGATCTTTTATCTCCCTGCCACATTAGCAGGAGACTGGATCAAAAGTGAGCAGCTAAGACGCTAACAGACATTCTTGTGTGGGATGCTGTTGTTAATGCTAGGGTGGAAAGTGTCAACTATCCCACTATGCCACAGCATTAGTCTCTAAGAAAAAGATTGTATGAGAATGCACTCTGGGCCATTTGAAATCCTTGAAGCAGGCCCCAGTCTGAACTCTCTTAAGCTGAGGGGTCAGTAGGTATCATTCATGTGTTAACTCCTAGCTGTAAATGTCCTTGAAGGAGTTAGGAGTATCATTTGACATCTTGAAAATATTGCATTATATGCTTGATAATACATGCTTACTGGAAGAGATCTGGTGATAAAATAAGAAGGGGTTGAAATAGCCAAAAGGTTTGATAAAAAATTCCGTGTAATTTCCACCATTTCTGTTACAAAGTTAGCACAGGCGCACACGCGTGTGCACACACACACAGAGTTGATTTCTTGCTCAGTGTTTGGAGCTGCTGAAATGTCTGCATTAATACTTCCTCCCCACCCTCCCCCTCCCCTCATACTCATTTCCACTTCTGCTTTTTAACATTTGGAGCTGTGTGATCTGCATAAACACCCTACCAAGTCAACTCAAGGGAACTTCAAGCTCTGGGGGGAAGCTGATCTCACTCACAGAAGCAACCGGGAGAGGACAGTTTATTTCTAGGCTGTTTTGTGCCTTAATAAAAGGGAGGGGGGGATAAGATTTATGGGGCCAGAACAGTAACCTAGGAGCTAAAGTCCTCGCCTTGCAAGCACCAGGATAGGTACCAGTTCTAATCCTGGCAGCCCCATTTCCATCCAGCTCCCTGCCTGTGGCCTGGGAAAGCAATTAAGGATAGCTAGCAATTAAGATAGCTAGCTTGCCAGTTAGGTAGCTAGCTAGAGACATTTTCCGTCTGTGGGTTCATCGCCGAAATGGTGACTTCTACACCAGTTAGAAAACAAAAACTCCATCCAGGTTTCTCCCCATTACCTCCCTGGGACATTAGCAGGGAGCTGGAGCAGCAGGACTATGTAGAGCCGCTGGACCACAAGCAGTGCTCCAAGGCAATGGCAGATACCCAGGCAGTGGCTTAAAGTCCCAAGGCATGCCCATTTTTCAAACTGCAGTACTCCTGGGACAAGTCACTTCTCATTCCAGGTCTGGATTCCTTTATTTGTAAGCAGGGAATGGTTGTTACTATAGAGCAACAGACTTGTCCAGTGGACTAAAAAGGAAATGACACAAGTCTAGGCAGGGCTTGCTACACAGTAAAATACCAACATATTTTTTTCCCCCTTTAGTCTGTGGCTTCCCTTGGAAAAGGCGGGTTCAAGCACAGTTAAAAACCAAAAGGATCCTTCAGTGACATTCAGGCCTGCTGTGGGCCCTTCAAGAGTAAGTAAGAATTAACTCCTGGAGCCAGCCTAAGGCGCTCCTCTCCTGGGAATGCTGAATACAATTCTTTTTGCTGTTCCCTTTCTCCAACTTCTGACACTCTCAAAAGACCACACTCTCACCTCTGCAGATACTGGCTCCTTTACAGCTTAATTTGCCCATCTCCCGTCCTGGGCCACCACCTGCTCTTCTGCACATCCCAGGCCTCCAGGGCCGCCGGACCCCTCCTCAGCCTGAGACCTCCAAGCCAGGCTCATCTCCTCCTCAACACCAGTCCACCCCTGTGGACACAGGCTGTCCCCGACTCCCGCTGGGGTGTGTGCACGGGGCCCTGGGTCAGCAGCTCCGCCGGCCCACGAAAGCTGCCTCAGCCCAGCTGAGCGATGCACAAGGCAAAGGGCCCCGGCCGAGCCAGGCCCCCGGTGCTGGACGCTCGGGGCCAGCGGGCGGCGGCGGATCCGGGCCCGCCCGGAAGTGCCCGGCGCGGCGAGGGGGACGAGCCTGGCGAGCCGGCGCCGCCGCGCACGCGCGATCGCGGCCTCGAGGGTGGCTAGGGGACGCCCGGGCTGGACTCGTAACTCGGAAGCAGGAGCCGGGACGGGCCCGGGGCGGGAGGGGCTGTGCGGCGGAGGCGGCCGCCCCTGGCGGCGGGTTTGTTTATCCCGGAAAAGAAGTTTAGGAAAAGGCGCTGGATAGGGAAGGAGGGCGGACCGGGCAGAGGAGGGATGCGGGTCGGCAGAGGCGGCCGCCACAGCGACTCGCCGCCATCGCCCCTGCCGCTTCAGCCGCCGCAGCCTCGGCTCCTGGGGCCGCCGCGGCCCCCGCCGCCTCCGCCGCCCCGGGAGAGGAGCCGTCGCTGGGACTGCTCGCCGCCGCCCCGCGTGTCCGGGTAGGTGCCGCTCCCGGGTCCCCGGTCCCCGGTCCCCGCGCGGCCCAGCGCGCTCGCTCCCGCGCCCGGCCTCCCCGTGTCGCCGGCGGCGGAGGCCTCCTTCCCTTCTGGGTGTCCTCTCGCCGCGGCCCCGGGGTCCCCAGCGGCCTTCTCCCGCCTCCGCCCTGGACCGCCCTGCCGCCCCCTTGGCCTCGCCGCTCGCTCCGGGGATGCCTCCAGTTCCTGCTGCATGTCCTGGCTTCCGCCTGCCGGGACCCCCACTTAGTGCCCCGCACGGCCTCGCCCCCGGCTTTCTGCCTGGCTGGTGTCCCTCCAGCGAGGTCCCTGTACATCTACTTGCACGGTCACCCCCATCCCATCTCTTAGATCGGTCTCCCTCCCCAGCGGGAGTGTTGCCATATGGAGAACGCCTTCCCCGAGCCCCGGGGCTCCCGGCCCTGCCCACCCACTTCCTGGTGAGAGTGGGCTCGGCTCCACCGACCACCCCAGGACCTGCCCCGCGCCCAGTGCCCCAATCCTCCCTAGCGCCCAGCACATCCTGCTTGCCTCCCCACACCTGCTTCTTCGCATTTACCCAGGCCACGGTAGGCTCACCCTGTGGTTCAGGGCCCAAGGACTGAAATCTCCATATCTGGACTTTCCCTTTGTCATCTCCTGCTTCTTACCTATTTTCCCCCTAGTTTTTCCTTTACAGTCTGCATATTTGAGTGATGACAGACCTGAAGGGAAAGAATTGGTGGAATTTTCTCCTTCAAAACAATTACAGCGCCCAGTGGAAGTAGAATTCACCTTGCTTAGCCTAACTTTTTGCTTCTTTACCTTCCATGACTGTGGATACTGGTTCAACCATCCTTAGGAGGCGCCTGCGATTTTTGCTCTAAATCTAGTTTGGTCCATTGTAATGTCTCCATCTTCCTGCTGCTAGTTTAAAAATTGAATTCAGCATTTCTTGGACTGGGAATCAAAGTGGTTATGGGAAAATTACCTTTCTTCTGGACCTAATGGAGCTAGTGGAATAGTTCAGATGATCTAAACCGTGGGTCCCCATTCCTCACCCCCAGCTCTTGGGCAGGTTCTTTTCTGGGCCCTGATATTTCTAAAGCTATAAAGCATGACTAGTGATATGGCTTATGAAATGGTGGTGGTGATTGCACAAGCTAAGGCGGACAGAGTGCTCAGAGCAGTGCTGGCCACATGGAAAGGGCCTGATAAATGTTCCTTATCTTCACCTCTTTCCCTGGATGGTTTTAGGTATTGGTAATTGAATTGAGAGAGGGAAAAATTTGGGGTAGAAAGCGTTCTCTTATCCTTTTTTTTTTTTTTTTTTTTTTTGCCCTCTCTTAATACCCTTTTTTTTTTTGATGTGGATATTGTTTTATTTTTCCTTCTGCTTTGGAAAATACGAGAGTTTAAGTCTGTATTTTCAAGTAAATTACCAAGCTACAGACAGATTAGACCCTCTTTCAGATACTTATTTAAAACTTTAGAAGTTTTGTCTTCTTTCTGAGGATAAGAGAAGTCAGTCACTGTGAGTAGTAGATTTGTTGGGGACATGAGGCTGTTAGAAGTTTGGTGTTGCAAGTGCAATCCTTGCATCTGGAGACCCTCTTCATACTCACCTGACCTTTCCTGGAATCACTTAGGGGTGATACAACTTTGCCTTCCTTCCGAAGAGACTGGTGACATTTTTCTCTTAACCTGTTACATCATTCCTGTTTAAATGCCTTTGTTTGATGCTTACCTACTTTTACTCACTTGTTAAAACTCTGATAGTTTTCAATGTATTTACTCACTTCTCATTACTGAGTTAATACATCTTTGCACTTTTGAATTCACAAGAAAAATCTAGTCATTATTTAGTTTTCTAAGCAGTAAAAAACCTTGAAGTTCTAATTACGTTGGAAATATGTGCATACATTACATTCTTTTCTTACCTTTATCCTAAAGTCATTTTCATACCAACAGTGAAAGGAACCCTCGTCTTTGGGTGACACTACCTTGGTTCATGCTGTTTCCTGGCCTAGAATAACCTTTGCTCCCCCACACAGCCAAATTTTACCTTTCACCTCTTACTACTTCCACATGATTCTTGCCAACTTCAGTGTTTTGGTTTCCTAATGTCTATTCTGCATTTTTGGCCCTGAATATGAAAAGAAAGCATGAGTTGAAGAAAAGTAGTGCCTCTCTTATCTTACTTTTAAAGCTTATAGAAAAGTTGAATTGGTGGAATAAAATAAACATTTAGCATTAACTTAGTACTTCATGGCTACTTCAGAAAGTTCGTAGGAAACTGGGATGAAAAGATTATGTTGGTTCCTCACATTTAGTACGTTTAGCTTTTTTGTAATACAGTTTCCATGAAGCCTTCAGATTTTCCATTTGAAAATCCTGAGTTTGATTTCATAATTTTTGTACTCCAACCAAAGTTAATTCATTTTTCCCTAAATTTGTGGATGTGCCCTGTATTTGTTTGGTCTTGTAAATAGTCACTCTTTCCAGAAATATTTACTGGGCTTCTACTGTGCTAGACATCTTGGGTATGAGAATAACCCTTCTGAACCATAGCTTCTGGGAAGGTCCAACCCCGATGGTCCAGGCACACAAGAAAAATAGTTAATTACCTCAGCTTCTATATACCGAGAATAGTATGTGCCATGCTTGACCTGAGATCGAACAGTCACCCAAAATAGTGTTAGTAAGGTTAAAGTTCCTGCAGACCTCTGGTTGGGAAAAGCTCTATCAAAGAATAGCAATACAGTTTCTGCTTTGTATTCTAGAATTGCACTGACATGACAGTAAACAAGTAGAGAAAATTATTCTAAGTCAGGGCTGGTATTGTTAGTAAAGATGGTAATTGCTAATACAAGACACCATTCCAAGCACTGTTTTTCAATTGATTACGTACTAATCCTCCAAATGAGGCTTTATTGTTATCCCCATTTTACAAATGAGGAACCTGAGAGACAGATGATTTGACTTCCCCTGTTGCACAGTGCAGTCAAGCATTCTGATTTTTAGAGCCTCATTTTGTTGTTCGTAGATTCTAATTCTTTTTTGGTGAAACATTAGCTAAAATTGTTCATTTTTGTAAAAATTTATTTTTAAAAGTTCAGTCTCAGGAGTGAGCTTTCTCTGTTTTCTTAGGATGCTTAGGGAAATAAATGAGATTGAGCTTTTGTAAAGTACTTGATAAGCAAGTTGTGTCCAAGTCCAGTCTCTGACCAGCTATTGAAGGGATTGCATTGGTGGTCCTGTTCACTCTCGTGTGTCCTGTCTGACTTTGTTCACCTAGCAAGTGATTGAAAAGCTCATCTGTTAGGCTCTCTGCTAGACTCTGGTGACACTTGTTACTGAAAAGAGGGTGCCTGTGTTCATGTCAGCAAGTTTGTTGGGGAGTAAAGAAACTAAACAAAGAAATTACAAACCTATTTAACTCTCTGCTACAGAGGAGAATTATTGTAAATAACAAATGTATAGTAATTCATTGAAGAATGCTTTTTAAATACATCATGTTTAGGAGTCTGCGTTGAGGAATGGTAAGTAAAGTTACCCTCTGTGATGCCCATTCCTATTCTGGCTGCTCCAACTGCAATCCATTTTCATGCTAATGGCCCAGGAAAAGATGGCACAGGTACTTTGCCTTTGACACCCACCCACATGGGAGACCTGGAAAAAAATCCTGGCTTCTGCCTGGCCGAGGCCTGCTCTTGGGAGCAGGTAGGGAGTGAACCAGTATATGGAAGATCTCTTTTTTCCCTATTTCTGCAACTCTGGCTATCAAGTAAATAAATAAATAAATCTTTTCTTTTTTTTTTTAATCATGCTTAGACTGAAAGCTGTTGGATGACCTCTGATTATCCAAATGATGGTAACAATTTTAAATTTCTAACTGTTCAGTCTGGTACATACTGGATGTCAGCACACATGGTTCCTTGGGGGAAATGAGATTGGGACAGATCACAGTGACCAAAATTCGTGCTAAGTGTTTTGTACTTAATCCTAAAAGCAGTAGGGACCCATCAGAGATTCTTAAATGGCTGAATACATTGCTTACACTTTTGTATTGAAAACATTACTCTGCGGTTCTCTGGAGGACAAATTGGAGAGAAGCAGAAAGATGAGTTAGCTTTACTTTTCAGGTTACTGTGGTGAAGTTTGTTTTGTTTTAATTCCCAATTAATAACATAATAAAATAGTTTGACAGTGTCAGATTGCTGCAAAAAATTTTTGCAAGTTTTTGTGAACCAGTGTTAGTTTATAGGCCACACTTTGAATAGCATTGAGTCTAATTATCATAGTAATTGAGGCAGAAGATAATCAGATTTTGGTCCAGGATGACAGTGATAGAGTACCTTGAATTGACAGATAATTTGGGAGGTAAAGGTTATATGCTTTGATGTATTAGATTTGAAAGAAGAAATCTATTTCTAGGCTAGTAGTTTAGTTTGATTTTATGGAAGGAGAGCTGTTTTGAGATTTGTTGAACCTGCAAGTGGAATGTACGCGTGGAGCTGGTTAATAGCAGTTGGATATATAGGCCTGGAGCTCAACAACTGTGGATTGAAGATGCATTGGGGAATAGTGAGAACATAGTCTGTACTAAGTGTCTTGAGGGGAAGGATAAGATGGCCTAAGGAGAGACTGTACAGGGAAGATAAGGATACTTACCCCTAGGTGCCTTTACCATTCAAATATTGGGGAAAGGGTACTGAAGAGATAGGAGTACAAACAGGTCCAGTGGATTTGCTTGGCTTATCACTAAAGCCAAGGCAGGGGAATGAAGAGAGGAAGTGGTTAGTTAACTATTTTGAATGCAGCTGAGAAATCAGTTGAGGAATTAAGGTACACATTGGATTCAGTGGCATGGAGAAAATCATGGATGACTCAGTCATCAGTTTATCTATAAACTATTTGATGAGGAGTTTTGTTTTAATCTGGCACAGCTACCATTCTAAATTTAGAATAAAATTATCTATAGCATGAACCGTAACTTCCTTGAG